CTCTTCCACCTGCCTGCAGGGCCGTGGGGCGTCTTACCCCGCGTGGCTCGGTGCTGTCTCTGTGGGGCCCTGTCCATGGGGCAGCTCCCTGGGTGCTGTCCTTGCTGCCCTGGCTGCCCAGGAGGGCAGGGAGCAGGGCCCAGGGGAGGGAGGAGGGAGGAGGGAGGAGGGAGGGAGCACCTGGCCCGTCAGCAGGCAGGGGAAAGGAGTGGCTGGCAGAGCGTCCTGGCACCAGGAGGGGACATGAGGAGAGACCAGCCGACCAGAGTATGGAGGCTTGAGGAGAAACAGGATAGGAAAAAAGAAGGAAACTAGCATTTGCATTTATTAATCACCTACTGTATGCTGGGCCTTTTGCCAGGCACTTTATGTAACTCCATGATTTTATTAATACTTTGTATAAATCCTCACAACACCCACCACAGGTAAGTATAATTATTCCAGATTTATCAACGGATCAGGTGGTGCTCAGAAATACTCATGACTTGCCCAAGGTCATACACAGGACAATACACAGTTGAGTTATGATTTGAACCCAGGTCTTTGTGACTTCCGAATCCTGTGGTTTTTGCCTGACGGAGACAGATGAAATCAGGAATAGGAGAGATGGGGGAGGAGAGGGGAGGAGGGGGCATGTTTGAGGGATTCTGCCTCTTCTCCAGGACGGGGTCAGACTCATCTCATCCGGTCATGCCTCAGTTCCCTGGAACTCCCTGCCGCCCTGATGCTTCCACATGCTCTCGGGCGCTGGGGACGAGGGCCCGGGCTGGAAAAGTGTGCCAAGGCAGAGGAGCAATGGAGGGGAGAGGAGAGGAGAGATGCTGCCCTGACTAGTTGGGAGGAGGAGAGCCCCCCAGACACCGAGGCCTGTACTGAGGGGCTCTGAGGAGGGTTGAGGAACGAGGCTTCCGTGCGTGCTGGAGGCCACTTTTCTCCTGCATGGCCTGGGCCCAGAGTTTGATTAGCTGGGCCTGGCTCTCCTGGTTACCCAACAAGCCTCTGGCTAGGGGCCAGGCTGCAGCGGGAGGCTCCCTGGCGCCACCTCCCGCTCTCCGCTCTCCTTCCCAGCTGGTAAACAGCAGAGCAGGAGCCAGCCACGCCACAGCCTCGTGACTCGCCCACTCCCCCCACCTGGTGCACGTGGCACCTGGCATGGAGAGGGCAGGCAGCTGTCCCTTCCCTCTTCTGCCCGCCCATCCTGCCATCTCCTGCTCCTGCCCCACCCTGGAGTTTCCAGCTCTGCTAACACACTCTGCACCTCTGTTCCTGGGTAGTTCCCAGAACCTCCCAATGTCTGCAGCTTGAGGGACAAAGGTTAGAAGTAGAGAGGGACTTTCTAACTCCTAAGGTGGTTGATAAGGGATGGGAAGTGAGGCAGAGGAAGGGAAGCTTTGGGGTCCTTTTGTACTGAGTCTGAGGGTATGTTTCTGTGCCTCTAGCCTTGGATGTCTCCGTATCCTTTTGGTAAATGCGGGCCCACGCTTCCATCTATGCTTCTCTGCACAGAACAGGATGTTGATCTGTTTTGGGGCTCTGTCCCTTGGGCAGGTTTGGTGTTATAGGCAAAGCTTTCTGTAGCACCCAGCAAGGGGTGAGGACATTGGGAGGGGTGCAGGGCAGTGCCAGGGGTAGTGTGCCTCTGTCCCCCCTTAACCTCCACCATGCTCCTCTCTCTCTGTCTCTACCTTGGTCCCCGCTGGCTGTGGCTCTTCACTTTCTGTGCCTCCCGGCTGTCCCCTCTCTATCTCTTCTCATCTTGAGGCCTCTCTTCCTCTGTGGCTCTGGGTCTCCCAGGGCCCTTCCTGACTAACCACCCCCATCCCTTGTAGGCACAGGGTGGAGGTCTCGAAGAATGCTTGCGGATGGGCACTGGGCATCCCCAGATACCGCAGGTATGGCTGCCTGCCCAGTTGTGCCACTTTGTGCTACTGTGCGGGGTGGGGGAGGAAGTGACCGGAGGTTGAGAAGACAGCATCCTGCCTCTAGGCCTAAGAGAGTCACATGCTTTCTAAGCATCCTCATGTCTCTGCCCCTTCCCTGCCCTAAGCATGGATGGCCTGGGTTCTTTCTCCCCAGAGAAAGAAGTTCCCTTGGTTAACCTTTTGGGAAATCTCCCCCTCTTGTCTAAACTTCCTCCCTCTTGCTGCAATCAGAGCTCCTTTTTTGGAGAAATCAGTCCTTTCAAAGCAGGGCCCGTGGTTATTTCCTCTTCAAACACAGTCTCACATTCATATGCAAGGACAAGGCTGATAGGGATCAGAGAATCATTTCACCCTCCACGTGCCCAGTCCCCTTATCGGGCCTGGCAATCTCAATGCAGGGGGCAAACAGCCTGGAGGGGGTGGAGAGTGGTGGTGGTGGCTTGGAACTGGAGAACAGTCACCAACTTCTCTTTCCCTTCCTCCCCACCCCCAAACCACAGAAACCACTTAAAGCTCAGCACAGCCTGCCCTTCCAGGGAGGGCCAGGGGGCTAAAGGTAGAAATGTGTGTGGCCGGGGGCAGCCTGCAATGCCACACACTGACCCAGCCCCATCCTTGGAGGGTCCTCTCCTGTGGGAAGCCTGATCCAGTGGTTGGGGACCACCTTTCTTTGGGTCCTAGGGGGCACTAAACCTGGGGAGACCTCAATCCAGTGGAGTGATTCAGGGATGGGCTGTGCCCCAACCGTTAAAAAAAAAAAAAAAGGACAACTCAGGCTCTATAAACATCTGTAGCTTCCAGATCTCACAGCCTCCACCCCTCCCCTTCCTGTCACAAAGGCCACTGTGGGTGGAGGGAACAGTGGGAGTTTGACCCTAGCTCCTGGCCTTGAACTTCCCTTGGTGACCCAGCCTGTCCCTCTCGTCTATCAATTACCCTTTACAGTCATGCAGGACTGGAGACAGCAGGGACGGTTGAAAAGAAACAGGAGCTCTGATTTTTGGAATAGAAATACACTGTAAGAATGTGGTCTGCTGTTTATTAGCTGTAGGCCCTGAGGCCAATCCCACCCTCAGCTACCTCATCTGTAAAAAGGGTGCAGGCGTCACTGTTCTGACTACTGTCTGCACACCTGCTCTGGGGCCAGAGCAGTCTGCACACTGGAGGGGTTCTTAGGACCTTATTCGCCCCCCAGGCATGGTCCCCTGTTAGCTACCCAGGATGTCCCCCCAGGGGCTTTGCTAGCTTCCCTGAGCAGCCAGGTCTGGGTGGGTGGGGGTGCCTAGGAGGAGCCACAGTCAGAACCCCTCCCTACAGCCAGGGCTGATGCACAGGCAAATTTACTTAACCTCTCTGATCTATTTTCTTCTTTGTAAGATGGGAATAATAACACCTACCTGACTGAGTGACTGACATAGCGCAGGTGCAGTACAGGGCCTGGTCCAAAGTACTGAGGCTTAAAAAAAGTTTTGTTTTCTCCCTCCCTCTTCCCATTCTTATAGTCTTCTCTCCTCTTTATCTGAACCCCCTTTTCTAGCCCCTTTCCTGCTTTCTTTTTCTCTATAACATCACCAAGTAAAATTCTTTACATTTTACTTGTCCATTTTGTAACTTGTCTGATCCTCATGTCTGTTTTGGCCACTGCTATATCCAATGCATGGCACCTCCTAGATCCTAAGGATTAGCTGAAGGAATGCATGAATGAAGGTTATACGACCTGTAAGTTTCTTTCCAGATATTTTTGAAAGTGCATCAAATTCAGTTGCTCACCAAAGGTTGTCGTGGGAGGATTTGGGGGCTGAAATAGGAGCACAGTTCAAGGGATAGGACTAAACCTATAGGTGAATTCAGACTGGCAGGATGTGAAATGATTGGAGAACTATCATCTTAGGGAAGGAGGTCCCTTTCAGAGTGACTGGGAGGCAGTAGCTGGCAGCTGGGGATATTATAACAAGGTGATTAGGAGCCCAGACTCTGGGGCCAGACTCTGTGAATTTTAGTTCTACCCCTTACTAGCTACAGAAGGCCTAAGGTCACATTGGATAACAATAGTACTTACACCCTGTGTGAGTTGCCGGGAGGAATAAATGGCTTGACAAATTGTTGGAACAGTTCCTTGTGTGGGGATAATCTATGTGTAGCTGTGAGCACTTCTGATTGTTTGGTCAATGCTACCACCTGGTGGACACCTGGAGCACGCTTTCCCTGGCCTAGGGCTAGGTGGTGGGGACCTAATCAGGGGAGGGGGAAGGAACTAGGGAGCTATTTCAATGGAGAGGCGTGTGTGTGTCTGTGTGTGTGTGTTGTGTTTCCTTGGGATCCAACAGGCTCAGTCCTGCTGTGGGCCACAGCTGGCACCATGGGAAATAAGAAAGGGCCCAAGGGGAAGGGAGAACAAAGCCGTATTGGCCCTGCCTACCCACTTCCTCCCTCCCTCCTTTCTCCAATCCTGGCCTGAGCCAAGAGGAACCAGCTCCTAAGAAGGTGCAGGCAGAGAGAAGAAGGTCACCGCTGACGTCAGGGACATTCGGGTAGAGGTAAACACAATCTGACCTACATTTATCCATCTTCCACCCCCTCCTGCTCCTGGCTGTTGTAGCCCCCCTTAAGTGGGGAGCAGCAGCGCAGTAAGGGGCATCTCACACTGTCCCAGCAGCATGTCCTGCAGACTCCTGCACCGCTGCCCAGCTTTCCTGAGAACAGTTCTCACACTGAGGCAGAACCCCTCCTTCCCCAGAACCACAGGTGTGGAAAAGGCAAGAGGGAGGCAGGAAGATTAAAGGGCACTGTGTATTAGTCCGAAATCCCTGTCTCACTCCTAAGACCCAGATATTTCATCTCTTTTTGGGACAGATGTAAGTGTTGGGGGGCATGGGAGAGGAGTGCTAATTTCCCCTGTGCAGCCACCATGAAGGTGGCTTGTGTTGGTTTCTGTCAGAGTGACTCAGTGATTGAAGGGCTCCCTGAAGGTTTGAGGCCTGGTTGCACAGGGACCCTAGGACCTATCAGCCCATATCTACTGAAGTAGCATTTTTTGGGGATGGAGCCCAGGATTCTGCATGTTTAACAAGCTCTTGCAAGATTTCTGATGTCTGGTTATTCTGATTCTCCTTCGAGTTTGAGGACCACTGCTTGAGGTCTGCTCTAACTCAACCTGAACAAACGTCTTCCAGCCCACGTATGCCCTGGACAGAGGGAAGAGGGTGGGCTGCACACCTGAAGAGTGTAGGGTGCCAACAAGGGGAGAGAGCCAGCTAGGAACAAATGGACATTTTATTAGCAAAAATAAATACACGCCGAGCAGATGGAAAGTATGAGGTCTGCAGACCCAGTGGAGACCTCCTGAGGAAGCCACAGTCTCAGTCTACAGGCTGAGATGGGTGGGCGCCAGGGAGGACCCTGGGCCTAGCGGCCCGCCCAACGGGGGCAGCAGCGCAATAAGGGGCGTCTCGCACTCGCCCAGCAGCGCGTCCCTGCGGAGTCCCGCGCCCCTGTCCAGCACCTTGGCCCTCAGACTGCGGACGGCCAGGTCTGGCAGGCCGAGCCCCTCGAAGAAGAAGTCCTCGTTGAAGATGGGGTTGGCGCTGCACTTGACCACGCGGCTCCGCTGGGCCCGCGGCCGCACGCGGGGCCGCAGCCTGAGCACCACGCAGCAGCCGCCGCCGCCGCTCCCAGGGCAGGCCCGCGGCCGGGGCAGGCCCTCGGCGCTCACCAGGCGCAGCCGCAGCCGCCCGGGCCCGGCCAGGTACTCGGTGGAGAGCCGCAGCTGCCCGCCGCGGGGCCCGAGGCGCAGCACGCTGTCCTTGGTCGGCCGCAGCTGGCAGCACAGGAAGTCGAGGTGGAAGAGCGGCGGCGTGGGCGGCCCCGCGCTGCGCCGCGCGGCCGGGCTGGTGTCCGCGGAGCTCGCCTCCTTCGGGGACAGCGAGTGCGGCGTGGGCAGCCGGCGCCGGCCCAGGCCGGGCCGCGGGGAGCCGAAGGGCGACGAGTCCGGCGACGAGGCAGTGTCGCTGTCGGGGGCCCGGCAGAGGCGCAGGTCCGGGGCGGACACGTGCAGCCAGGACTGCGCCGGGGACAGCCCCTCAGCCGGGGCGGGCGGCGGCGAGTGGAACAGGGACTCGCGCCGGCGCGTGTGCGGGCTCTCGGGCAGGAAGGCCCAGCCTTCGCGGCCTGCCAGGTGCGGCAGCGAGCAGGCCGAGTGGAGGCCGCGCCCGGCCGCGTCACGCCGGGCTGCGGGCTCGGCGCCGCCCGGGTCCCGGAGCCGAGGCGGGATGAAGAACTGCGGGATGCGATCCGGGGTGAGGACGTTGGGGCAGACGCGCCTGGCTGGGCCCGGGGCGCTGCGCTTAGAGAACAGGCTGGAGGGCGCCCACCGGGCCCTGGACTCCGCAGTCCCCACCCTGTAGCCAACTTTCTCCAAGAGCCACATGCGGTGGGTGAGAGAAATTAAACTCCGAATTCCGCAGGGCCGAGAGGGTCCAAATCCCACGTCTCAGGTGGGAGTGCTGGGCGGAGCTGGGCTGGGGGAGGAGAGAAGAGGAGCCAGAGGTAGGTGATGCTGGCGTATACACTGGGCAATCTGCCCCTGCGCCCTTGTCCCGGGCGCCTGTTTGAGCAGAAAAAGGTCTGCGAAGTCGAGGGGGGAGGGGCGGCAGGGGAGGAATGGAGGGAGCCCAGGGCCGTACAGTCACATTTTCACATGCAGGCCTCGGACACCAAGTACACAGACTCTCCCACTCTTACTGAAGATGACCGACCCACCCACCCAAGAGTTAGAGGGCTCAACATACCCACTAGAACCCTAGGGTACCATTAGGACAAACAGTATAATATCTGATTACCAGAAGGTCTGTAGTCACAAAAACGGACCCAGATTCCGAACTGCCCTGAAGGGACACCAAGGCCGAAGCTGGTTCACCTCCTTCTCGCCCCCCCTCCATCCCCGCCCCGGCCATTCCGAAGATTTGTGCTCTCCTCCAGGATGTGGTCTGTCGCCCCTCGGGCCTCCCTCCCCTGCCCCGCCGCCTGGGCGCAAGCTTTTCTGGACTGAGCCATCCTTGGCCAAAGCCCCACCTGCCTCCTCTGGCTCCTCCTTCGCATTCTCAAGTCGCTCCTGGACAGAAGGGGACTCACTTCTGTTCCTGGCAGCCAGAGGACACACCTGGCTGCTGACCTGAGGACACTCAGGGCCGGTCCAAGGAGACGCGCCTCTCGGTGTGTGTGGGGGGCACAGAATCCCACCCCTCCTTTAGTCCTGACCGTCCCGCCCGCTCCTCGCAGCCCTACTGCACCCGGTGTCTGCGGGGCCGGGCCGGGCCAGGCCGCTATTGGGTCGCCCCTCCCACTCTCTGCTCCTTTTCTGCCTAGGAAACCACCGAGCACAAAGGCAGCATTGATTCTCCGCTAGCCCCAGAGCGGCCTCCGGAAGGCTCCGCCGCCACGCGCTCACCGCGCGCCAGCACTGAGCTACCCCGAGCGCGAAGTTCCCACAGTCTGCCGGGGAATCTAAGCCCTCGCCCGGCTCTGTCCTGCGCCCGGAGTGCAGGGCTCACCTGTGGGCCGCCTCTGGGGTTCTGGCCTCTGGCCCGGACGCGTTCAGAGCCCTAGGGGAGCAGCTTCCTCTCCAGCTTGCTCCCCAAGCCCAGTCTTTCTGGGAGGAGCTGGCAAGGGCCTTAGCTGCCTACGTCCTACCTCTTTTCCTGGATAAACACAGCTCTGTCTCCGCGGCCATCAGCCCGGCCTTCTTAACTTCTTCCTTCAGCTGGAGCCAGATTTCTAGCAGCAAGCAGCTTTTTGGCCAGGCCTCCTTTGCTGGGCCTGGGCTGCTTAAGGGTTGGGGAGGGTTACAGAGAAGGGGGAGACTGCCACCAGTGGGTAGTGGCCCTACTCCAGCCCTCCCAGGTGAAGCCCATAGCTATGGCTACACGAATCCCATCTTCTGCAAAGCTCTTCTTGCTGGAATCCTGCCTTGACCCCCATTACCTCATTCTGGAGCCATCCCAATAGCTCCCAGGCAGAGTGACTTGCATTGACCAGTTCTCTGAATTATACTGGCTCAAGGAACCGTGGCTAGGCTTAGATTTCTGGGAGACAGAGGACAGAGCTGGTTCCAACAGTGAGTCCACATGAGGCTCACCTATGCCCTCTATCCTTGGCAGATCCTAGGACATGCAGGCCACCACTGAGAAGATGAGTTGCGTTCCAGGCATACCCATCATCCTTCAGTCCCTGAAAGGCAGAAAGCTCAGTAGGACCTATGCATAGACTATTTCCTTTTCGTGGTCCACTCTTCCCTTTCATTCTTCAGCTCTGGAGGCCTTCATTGACACCCTCCCGTCTAAACTAGGGGCACCTGCTGTGTACTTTCACATACTTTTCCTTTATGGCATTGATTACAGTTTTTTCTGTTTATGTGATTATTTAATGTCTGCCTTTCTTACTAGACTGTAAGCATCATAAGGACAAGGCTTAGCACAAAGCAGGTGTTCAGTCAGGATTTGATGACTGAATTAGTGATATTAAGAAGAATTATACTTGAAACAATTTGTTCATTTATTTATTGAGTACCTAAAATGTACCAGGCACTATGCTAGGTGCTGAGGATACATAGAATGGGAAGCTAAGGGGAGAGACAGACAATAAACGTGCAAACAACAACAAAAAGACAAATTGTGACATGCAGGAAACAAACAAGATGAAAGGAACCAGTTTATGCAAGATTAGTCATCTGATACTTGGAGACTTCAACAAAGCAAGCGTTTCTTTTGTGGTGATCCCTGCAGACCCCTAGACCCTCCGTTCCTGTGGCTTCTGACTCAGCGCAGCCTTGGTGTTATTTCTGGGGAGGGTCAGTCTGCATGGAGTGCTGCAGCCAAGAGCTCATGGTTTTGGCATCAGTCAGATGGGCTGGGGATCTGGACTCTGCAGCTTACTAGTGCCTGAGATGATGGGGGCATGGATCAGAGTTGAGTAGTCAGCTTCTGGATATGTTCTGAAGGTAGAGTAAATAGGAGTTCCTAATGGATCCATCCCCATCCAATGAGAAAGGAGGATCCAGGGTTTTTGACCTGAGCAATTGGAAGAATGAAGTTACTATTTAAGAGGGGGAAGTATCAGTTTGGGATCTGTTCAATTTGAGGTGCCTGTTAGGCATCCAAGTGCAGAGTAGGTGGTTGGATATATGAATCTGTCCCGGACTGAAGGTACATATGTGGACACCAAGAGAAATGCAGGTGGAATTTAAAGTCATGAGACTTGATGAAGTGTGTGTAGAAAAGAGAAAGGATACAAAGACTTAGTCCTGGGTGTTCATTTAGGGATCTGGGAGAGGAAGAAGAACCAGTTGTGTCAAATGCTAAGGCAAAATGAAGTAAGGTGTGGACTGGGAATTGACCACTAGATTTAGCAATGAGAAGTTACTACTGGTGACGTTGACAAAAGCAGTTTTGGTGGAGTGGTGGGGGCAAAAGCCTGACTGGAGTGGGGCTCAAGAGAGAATGGGAGGAGAAAGAGAGAGAGAGCAAAGACAACTCCCTTGAAGAGTTTGCTGAAAGAGCAGGGGAGAAGTGAGGTAGTGGCCAGAGGTGGAAGTAGAATCAAGAGAGAATTTTTAAATTAGAGAAACAATGGAATGTTTGTATGCTGATAGGGAAGATCCAACAGAAAGGGGAAAAAATGATAATGTGGGAGAGAGAAGGGAGATGTATTGGGACAATGCTCCTGAGTAAACAAGAAGAAATGAGTGTTGTGCATAAGAAATAGGGCTAGGGGTCGTCCTTTGCCTTCTGTGTGGACAGATTTCCCACAGATACTGGAGAGAAGGTACAATAAATGGGTAGAGGTGGCAGGTGGAGAGATGTGATGGTGGGAGCTTGTCTCTTCTGAATGCTTCTAATTTCTCCATGTCACAGGAAGCAGGGTTATCAGCTGAGTGATGATCAGTAGAAGGTGGTGGTAGGAGTTTGAGTAGAGAGGACCAGGAATGCAACTGTCACCTAGGAGAGCAGGAGAATGAATGGCCTAGGGAACTCAGGGTAATTGCAGGGCAGCATTGCAGGCTGAGGGGTAGTGATCATGACTTTAAAGTGTAACTGGACAGCATGGTTGTATGTTTTTTCTCTGGCTGTGTTCAGCTGTGCAATGTGCAGGGGGAGAAAGGGGGTAGAGATTTGGATTTAGCCAGGATTGCGCTTACTGTTTGACAATTCACTTTTCTGCTTCCTCTCTTCTTCCGTTTCCTTCTTTTTGTGAACAGTAATTTAAGGTTGTGTACGAGGCTGCATACCATCGGGGCTGCACAGCAGTGGGATTGAAAACTGACTACAGATATCCACAGCCTGGCTGTATTAGTCAAGGTCTGACCAGGAAAATGGCATGTGCTGCATGGCTTGACAAGGGAGTTTAACACAGGAAACTTGTTACAAAGGCGTTGGAAGAACTTAAAAGGCAAACAGGATGGTGAAGGACTGACTAGAAGGATTTGTAACTATGGATACACAGTCATTACTTAAGTTGCCTCCCAAAGCAAAGAAAAGGGGAGAAATACTCTGGCTTCTCCCTTCTTCCAATCTGCTGCCAGAGCCTTCCAAAGCCAGATGACAAAGGAGACTGGAAAGTGTAGTTTGCAGGCACTAGCCCTCTGCAACATAAAGCAGGATGGGAGGCTGGGGATCTGTGAGCAATTAGACAAATGACTGGCAAATGCATAGCCAAAAGTTGGATTGGAACAGTAAGACAACTGACCTGGAAGGAACTTTGATGTCACCTCACCTACCCTCATTTTTGCAGAGCAGGGAACAGATCTAGAAAGAAATTATATGCTAAACAGTACCAGAGTTGAGACTAAGTCCTAGATTTTCTATCTTGAAGAGTACTGACTGTTCTTTCTTGTACCCTAAGGGTCTTTGGATTCAGGCAGAGCTGCTCCCTTGAGTGAGGACTCAGAGTGCTGCCTCCTCCCCTCCCTCTGCACCATTGCTGCCACCCCTCGAGAACTTCTCAAATGACCCAGGGGCCGTCTCTTGCTGGTGCCGTTGTAGAAGGACACTTAAGAGCCTGGGCAGTACAGAGTGCTTTCCTGGGTCCACGCCAGCTGGACCTTTCCTCCAGGTAGGCAGGCAACTGCTACAAGGCTCCCTGGCCTTTTGGGTCCTGTGGCCTTGAGTGGTGGCCTCATGCAGTGTGACTTGGCCACCAGTGTTCACTGTGGGCTCTGGTAAGTGATGGGGTGGTGACAGACTGTGTCTTGAAGCTCTGGCTTCTCACCCAGGACCTGTAATGAATGACCTGTCTCTGTAGTCTCAGTTCCAGAAAGAGCTCAGGGGGGCCCTTCTTTAAGAGCTGGTATGAGCTACTGACATGCCCTGCCTTCTCGAACTGGTTGATTTTACAATGGCCGTATTCATTCTTTGGTTTCTCTTGGCACTTGACTCAGGCATCTGGAGAACATATATTCTCTGATATATTTTCTGCTTTAAGCAGAATAAGCTGCCGCATTTGCCTGGGTGGCCTGCTGGCTTCCACCCTATCTACCTCTGCAGTAGCTGCGTTCCAGATAAATGCTTGATGTACGGGAATGGGTTTGCAAATGTGATGGCAGCAGCTCCCCTTGCCTCTGCCAGACAGCTGCAGTACTTGGCCTCCTGGGAGAGGAGAGGCATCTCCCAAAGCCCCCTAGACCAGGCGTCCTCAAACTATGGCCCGCGGGCCACATGCGGGTGTTTTTGCCCGTTTTTTTTTTTTTTTTCACTTCAGAATAAGATATGTGCAGTGTGCATAGGAATTTGTTCATAGTTCTTTTAAAACTATAGTCCAGCCCTCCAACGGTCTGAGGGACAGTGAACTGGTTCCCTGTTTAAAAAGTTTGAGGACCCCTGCCCTAGACACTAGAGAAGTATCCCAGCAGCCGATGACCTTATTTCCCTTACCAAGACCCCTGCCTACCCAGCAGGCCTGACCCAGTCCAGGCTGACACTCTGAGCCTGGCTGTGGGGCCCTGCCCGAGAGGCTCCCACCTCCGTGCCTATTTCTCTTAGAAACTGGCCCCAGCAGAGAAATGCCTGGATGCATTTAACCTATTATGGAAACTCAAACACAACTGTTTTATTTTTCTTCCTTTTGTTGGCTATGTAGGAAGGATGGTATATATTTCCCTTCTCGGGAATGTTAGAATGAAGATTAGGCTCTCCTTGACCATGAATAAAGGGGGATGAGTTTTTCAGTAGACTCTGGGTTTAATAGATTATCGTGGGCAACCGTGAAGGAACAAAAGGAGAAAGGGATTTTTGTGTGTATATGGGGGAGGGGATAGTAGATTGTGATAAGGTTTTTGGCCATGGCCTCCAGTACATCTTTAGCTTTTGGAAGGCACTGGGTTAAGGCCCTTCAAATTCATGTCCACCTGTCCTTTGCCCATCATTTGAGATGGATGTCCTAGGAAGTGTATGGTCTAGGTCCTGGAAAGGGAACCTGGTCCACATAACTCCCACCACTGCTGAAATTATTTATGTACAGCTCTCTGACCCTGTTCCATGAAACAAAGGGTTTCATCTCTCTGATCTCCTGAATCCCCAGCCCCAGCTCCAGATCCTGGACCCCTAGCTTAGGCCTGAAGCCGGCCAAATCTTTCACCTGGCCCCTGGATGCCAACACCCAGCATGACTTTGGAGGTCAGGTGCAGGATATGGTGGAGCTTTGTCAGCGAGGCTCCTGAATGACTCCTAGACACCACCAGCTGGACTTTCTGTGAGTAAGAAATACATTCCTTTGAAGATGGATATTAAGCTATGGAGATTTAAAAATTTATCCACTTTAGCATTTGGCTTTGCTGTACCTAATAATAAAATCCTTTATGATATGGCCCTAGAAGCTCTCATTCTTTGGTAAAACTTCCCCAACCTTGACCTACATCCCCTCCCCCTACTGGCCTTAATGGAATTCTGGCTATCTCAGGACAAGACACCTCTTCTCTTACAGCCCTCCCTATAAAAGCCGCTCAGTTTTTCACCCTTCCCCTCCCCAGGCCCAGAGGAGCTACCGGCTTCTCCAGGGTAGCCATTGCCTGCTCCACTCTGCTGTTCTCCCTCATGGCAAATCTCCTCCTTAGAAATGTGCCCCAGCCATATTGCTCTTTCCTCCTTTCCCACCGTTCTCACCTGACTTACCTGCCATGCCCCTGGGTTTTGCCGGCTGGCTCCCATCTCCTGTCACCCGAGGTGCCACTCCAGACCCCTGTTTTATTCCAGCAGCGGGGCCCTCAGCATGCCTCGACCACACAGGTGATCGGCCAATTTGTTTTCCTGATCTCTCCAGTGGCTTTCCCAAGACATTCCCCTTTCTTCAGACCCCTTCCCCAACTGATGGCCTTGGCCCCTCTTTCACTGAGAAGGCTGAGGTGCTCTGGCACGAATCCCCCAACTTCCTGTCCTGCTCTGCACCCCACCTCCTTCCTGCTGGGCTCAGAGTCATGCTGATGCTCTCCCATGACCCCGTCTCCACTCATGCCTTGATCCATCTGTAAGACCAGAGAGCTGTTCTGCTGGATGACACCTCTCTCCTAAAAGTTTCAGCTTCTCTCCTCTAGCAATGTATAAACACAGTCAGATCGCTTTCCTTGAATAACGACAACAAAATTCCTAGAGTTATCTACATGCATTTCCCCATTCCTATTTTTGTCCACTGTAATCTGGATTTTGCTCCTACCTCCTAAAATGGCTCTGGCAAAGGAGACCACCACCTTCCTTACTGCCAAAGCCAAAGCCAAAAGCTTTTGTTTTCATCTTCCTTGCCTTCTCTTTAGTATTTGGTACCACTGACTTTGCCCTCTTAGGACAGTCACTCCAGTCCTGTTCTCAGCCTCCTTCGTGGGTCTTTGGTCTTCTGTCCCAGCCTTAGTGTGACCTAAGGTTCTATCTTTGACCTCTTTTCCCCGTCCACTGACACTGCCCTGCCCCCTCCTCATTTTCACTCTGCATAAGCCATTCCTAGGGGTTCCATGTCGGATTTTATATTGACTGACAGATGTCTCCTGAGCTCCGAATCACAATATCCAAGTTCCTGCTGGCACATGCCACTTGGAGAAAATTCCGTGGAGCAAGTTCCGTGGGCACTTCAAGCTCAATGCATGTAAAACTGAGCTCAGTCTCTGCCCCCACCTCAAACCTGCTTTTTCTGTATTTCCAGTGATACCACTTGGAACCTCCCAAGCCAGAAGCCTGGAGTCACCCTAGATGGCTCTCCTTCACTATGTTCAATTAGTGGCAAAGTCCTGCACTTGTTTTATTGGTAACATTTCCCGTCTCTCTCAACTTCGCGGCTCTGACCCACACGGGCACTACGGTGTCTAGTGGAGCCTGCAGGGGTTTCTTAACCAGGGCTCCTGCCTTCAGCCAGTGACCTCTTGCTGCCACCAGAGTCATCTTTCTAAATAACAAAGCTTTCTGCGGCTCCCCAGTCCAAGCCCTTCAAAGGCTCCCTGTTGCCTGCAAGACAAAGTCGAAGCTCCCTCCCAGGGTTTGTGAAGCCTTCCACGGCTGCTCCCTGCCCACCTTCTGTTCCCTCTGCTGCAGCCCTGCAGCCTGCTCCACACCTCGCTCTTCCCGGAGGCCTTGCCCGCTTTCACACCTCTGTACCTTTGTCCTTACGTTGCTCTGCCTGGAATAGCCTCCCCTGCCTGCCTGCTGAACGTCACTTAACTTTTGAGACTCAGTGCAGGCAGAGCTTCCTCTAGAGAACCTTTTCTGATCTCTTCATAGAGTAGAACTGACTCTGCTCCCTTTGGGCCTGCCCTGCATTCACGGTGGGAGCCAGGGTGGGCCTGGGAGGAGCTTGATGGGGCACTCTGTGCTCTCAGCCACTGGCCCCGGCCCCCAGTTGTGCATCTTGAGGCTGGGGACCACGTCTCTCATTGCAGCTGCCGTGCCTCGTGCCTCACCCAGCGCCTGGTTCCTGGCAGGTGCTCAGTAAATCTTTCCTGTTGGTGCTGAAGGAAGGTGGGTATGTGGGATGCCTTAGACAGAGTTTGATTTCCAAGCACTGAAAGGTTTTGGGCTGAGAATGGGGCTGTGAGACTTTATTTACTTGGAAGCCAGGGCCCTCCCCCTCCCCTCGCCAATTCTTCCTGGGAGACCTCCCCGCCCCACCGCTCCCACTCTCCAGTGGGTCCCAGGCAGGCAGGGCCGTCGGCAGTAGGCTCTCCTGAAGGCACAGTGACTATTGCTGGGATGACTCTGTTTCCAGCTGCAGCTGAAGGAAAACACCTGCAAGAGAAGAGTAAGCTGAGTGGCTAGGGCTGGGACTGAGGTGGCAGGAGCTTGAGGGGGTGCTCTGAGTGAGCATTTGGCTCCAAATTACTGGTTACCTGTATGCTGTCTGTGCAGTATGGGTTGGGTAACTCACAGGTAGAAAGAAATCCTAGTTGGCTTCTCCTGCACTTCACTTGTGCCTCCAGTAGGTGCCCAACCCCATTCCTAAAAGAGCTGGAGCCCAGCGGGGGACCAGATCCTCTCACCTGTTTGTCCTGGGGGTGGGTGGTGGCCGGACAGGGCCTGGGGCTGAGGCTGGGGACTTCTTTACCTGAGGACTTGGCATACACTGTCTGCTGGTCTCTGCTCTGCGTGACGCAGGATATATAAAGCTTCTGGTCCTCAATCTTTTCCACGACAACGTTCAGGACAGCCAGAGAGCCCACGGGGATCAAGCTGGGAGAGGAGGTGGAGTAACCCGTCCCTTCTGTGAGCCCCAGCCCCCCCATCCCTTCACCCTCTGTGCCCACCCTCTTCATCCCACCCTGCCTCAAGGCTCACAAGTGGCCCTGGGCTCAGGGTCAGCCTGTCAGCTCTCAAAGTTGGGTGGCAGGGTTTGCATCCCAGGGGAACTGCCTGGGCTGGGTGTCAGCTGGGGAAGGAGTGTGGCAGCCAGGGCTCCAGTGCCAACGATGGCCACCCCCAGAAGTGAAAAGGGCCATGACTTTAGCCAATGCCCTGAGGATCCGCACTTACTTTTTGAATCTGATGTTGAGGCTTAGTGTGAACAGCCCCTCTCCAGCCAGGTAGGCAGTTTTAGAAAAGGTCTCGTCCATCATGGCTGCTAGGGACCCGCCGTGGGCAAACCTGGGGTGGGGGCAGGGAGCGAGGCTAGGGCTGGGGTTGGGCAGACCATCCCCCTGGGCCTTCCGTCCACTCTGTGGTGGAACTCTGCCTCTCCCTTCCCCCAGACCCCTCCCAGCACTGATCTTCAGCCTCAGGGCAGCCACAGAGGAAAGGAAACAGGGCTGCATCCCATCTGATCAAACTGGTCAAAATCAGCTGAGCTTTTCTCCTTTTTTGCCTCAGCATGTGTTAGCAGCCACTGATACAATTATTAATATTTTAATTCACCAGGAAAATTTATTTTTCTCATTAGAGTTGATGGAAACATTTTTCTTATTCATCACCTAATGGCTGGCAACAGTTGCTGTAATTTGGAAGGGTGCACACATACAGGGAACCTGAACTTTTTTTTTTTTTTGAGACAGAGTCTCACTTTGTTGCCCAGGCTAGAGTGAGTGCTGTCGTGTCAGCCTAGCTCACAGCAACCCTCAAACTCCTGGGCTCAAGCAATCCTATTGCCACAGCCTCCCGAGTGGCTGGGACTACAGGCATGCACCACCATGCCTGGCTAATTTTTTTTATATATATTAGTTGGCCAATTAATTTCTTTCTATTTATAGTAGAGATAGGGTCTTGCTCTTGCTCAAGCTGGTTGCTCACTCCTGACCTAGAGCAATCCCTAGGCCCTCCTCGGCCTCCCAGAGTGCTAGGATTATAGGCGTGAGCCACCACGACCAGGGGAACCTGAACTTTTTGACTTAGACTTTGGAGCACAGCCTTAGGCCATCTCTCACCTTACCAGTCACTATGGCCAGTGCTGGGCCCCACATTTCAAGGCAGGTAAATGTGAAACGTTACTTATGCTCTAAAAAGTGCTGGCAAGGTAGACTCCTGAGCAGCGCTGCCTGCAGAAAGCCAAGAGCCACTTCAGCAGGACCCCGCAAACATTTGCTTTATTTAAAGTGCTTACAGTTTTCATTCTCTCTTGTGCGAGCTCCATGCCAGGTACTACATTGTTGGTAGAATTGGGGAAAATAGAAAAGTAAAATAGAATGCAAATAACACCAAACATTTGAGTTCTGATTTTCAAATGTATAATCCCAGTTCTGTGGGGACCCAGGCCAGGTGTCCTTGCCGTACTGCACGGGTTACCCTCTTGCCCCTCCTTCCTCTGGTGGAGAGAGCTGGAGGCAGAGCAACCACGCCCACCCGGTTTGAGTCCTTGCTCCACCACTCATTACCTGTCTGATCTTGAGCAAGTTGCTAAACCTATCTAAGCCTTAGTTTTCCCACTAGGAATTGCGAATAAAAATAACTCCTATTCGTCAGATTAAATGAACAAATGTTTGCAAAATTTCATGCACACTTCCAGGTACTTTCCTCTCTACCTCCCAGATTGCTTCAAAGAGGTTAAAAGGAGTGTGTCAAAGAGCCCTGGACCTGCTCTTCCCTCCTCGTCCCCACTGGCCAGGCAGGGACACATTGGCATTACGTGAGTCTGCAGAGTAGCTCTTGACCAACAATTTTGTCCCTCCTCCCCTCTTCCCATTGCCCAGGGGCCTGGTGGGTACTGTGAACTAAAATGCTCACCCGTCCCACAGGCTGACTGAATGGACCCCCTCATGGCCAAAGGAATATCCTAAAGCAAAATTGCCTGCCAGGAGGAGGGAGGTCAGACTTGCCTTATCATGCCCCTCTCCCTTCTTGGAGAATTTTTTTGTAACCCATTAACAGGCCTAAGGGTATGCAAGACAAACTTGCAGGTCCTCAATTTGGGCAACAAATGGTGGCTTATCTCTGATAACAACTCCTTATGTTGAAACATTCCAGGCCTTTAGACAAAGCTTCACGTCTTTAGTCTTTAGCCAGTTACAATCCAAAGAATCTTTAAACCCACCTATAACCTGTGAGTCCCCCCCAGCACCTCTCTTCCATATGACCCACCTTTTGGGGCCAAACCAATGTATGCCTCCCACATATTGATTGATAAGTTTACCTGTAACCCCTGTCTCTGAAATATACAGTAAAAACCAAACTGTAACCCAGCCACAATGAGTCCACTTGCCCAAGGTCTCTTGGCAGTGGCTCCGGGTCATGGTCCTCAAATTTGGCTCAGAATACATCTCTTTAAAATTATTTTGCAAAATTTGGCTTTTTTCCGTTGACGGTACTGATTTCTTCTTTGGACCCCTCCCCGATCCATTAACTGGCCTTGGTGTTGGATGGTTCTCCTCTGCCTCTTCAGCCTCACCTCCACGAGCCCCTAAATAAAAGTCAGCCCCACTCCTGCCTCCTTGGGGTTTTCCTCTTTGGAAAGGAGGGTGCCAGGGCTCTGCTGTACCCCCAGTGTCTGCATGCACTCGTTTGAGGAGTGGTGCCCCATGGAGAATGCCTTCAGGATGGCCAAGGTGACGGAGGGCTGTATAGTCTATTTAGCACTCTGGATTCTGTTCAGCCCCGATTGAGCCCTTCTCCGGCCACAGGACCTTAAAGCTGCTTTGACTCTCTCTTGCCTCACTCTCCCCTGCAGGAGCTCCAGCACCACCAACAGCCTTCAGTCTGGAGCAGGAACAGGGATACAGGAGAAGGCAGACAACCACATCTTGGTGACCATGTGACATTAGGCAAGCAGCCCAGGCCTGGTCTGATTTCCCTGTGGAAGTATTTATGCCCCTTGTGAGTTCTGCCCTACTTCTGTTCCAAGCCCGGAGACAGCAGAGTACAGTGGAGAGAACAGTAGACTTGGAATCCCAGCTCCTAGATTGGAGTCCTGGAATTGACTTCGATTGCCTGTGCTATCTTGGTCAAGTCCCTTTACCTCTGTGCACCCCCATTTCCCTGTGGATAAAATGTGGGGTTTGGATAGATGGCGTTTGATAGCTAGATCATGCTTTATGGTTCACGAGCACACACATATAGGCCCATAAAATCATATCTCAGTCACCCTGACAGGTAGATATTATTGCTCCAGGTTTAAGGTAAGACTAAAGACCAGAGGTCAGATTGCTTGCTTGCAGTCCTGAGGCCAGCAGCAGCAGAACAGGACTGGAAGTTGGGCTCTGAATGCCAGATCTTGCCCTCTGGAATGTGTACCACATTCTTCTTAAAGCGGACTCTCAGGTCCTTTGCCTAGAAAATTCTGAGACCTCAGTAAGGGGGCTCTCCCCTATCTGCACAGTGGGGACTAGATTGGATGACCCAGTGTGTCCTTCCAGGCCTGGCCTTGTGAGGCTGAAGCCCAGTGCCCCACACCCACATCCTCACTCCTGCTGAGCCACGCCCAGGAGGCAGCCAAGGGCCTGCCTGTGGCCTTACCCTGGGGCCCCCTCCAGGTAGGGGCCTGGCTGGAACAGACAGACGGATTTCTTCTCGGAAGGGTGGAAAAAGATGGCATACTCATAGCCTTGTCCTTCCACTGGGATGCACCTGGTGAAGATGCGCCAGTCACCTTTGTCTGGGGAGAGACAGGCAGTGTTGTGGCTGGAGAAGGGACGGTGTGGGGGCGTGGGGCCTGGTCAGGATGCAGCACCGTGGTGGAGCCCTGCCTTGGGTGCAAGGTCAAGGAGGGAGAACCAGAAGAGACCAGGCTCTGCCCTCAGGAAGCCTTTCTTCTAGGAGCAGAGGCATGCACGGTCCCTGTCCTTAGAGAGCCCTTGGTCTAAGGAAGTGTCCTGGCTGAGGGTGCAGATAGGATCAGGGCCAGATTGAGACTTTAAGAGATCATAGCATTGAAAACTAAAGATGTAATTACTCAGCCAGGAGCAGTGGCTCATGCCTGTAATCCCAGCACTCTGGGAGGCCAAGGCGGGAGGATTGCTTGAGCTCAGGAATTTGAGACCAGCCTCAGCAAGAGTAAGACCCCATCTCTACTAAAAATAGAAAGAAAATTAGCTGGGCAACTAAAAATAGAAAAAATTAGCTGGGCATGGTGGTATATGCCCGTAGTCCCAGCCACTTGGGAGGCTGAGGCAGGAGGATCGCTTGAGCCCAGGAGTTTGAGGTTGCTGTGAGCTAGGCTGATGCCATACAGCACTCTAGCCCGGGCAACAGAGCAAGACTTTGTCTCAAAAAAAAAAAAAAAAAAAAAGATGTAATTACTTATGGAATCCACATATCAAAATAACAATACTAAACAGTAAAATACGTGCAGAAAAATTCACCAAAGTTCTGATTTCTTCCCAAGACAACTACAACAACAACATCCTTTTTGGGAAGTATCAAATTCCTATAAAATATTATTTTGTGTACCTGCTTTGTTTGCGCCATAAACCCAAGGGCATCTGCCCACTGTGCCACCCATTTACCACTGGGCAGGACGACCACATGGATGAGTGAGAGTGACAGGAAGACACAGACAGACAGACAGACACACCCAAAGACAAAGGCAGAAGGTCTACCAGTGGGATGCCCTGGGTGTGTCAGGAGTGCCGGGCCGGCAGAGCAGGCCGGTGTGCCAGGGCCTGCAGGAGATGAGGGGACCCAAAGGCTTTGAAGGGGCTGGGGAGGAGGGTTGGCAGAAGGGAAGAACAGCCAGGGAGAAGCCAGAAGGGGCAGGGCTGAGTGGCAGTTCTCAGTGGGAACACGCTTGGCCCGGAGCAAAACCAGGCCCGCCAGGGTGTGTGCGCTTCACAGGGAAGGTGGGAGCCAGAGACCTGAGCAGACGCTCACCCACCCCCTGCCTGGGGCCCAGAGTGAGGGTGAGTTAGGCAGCAGAGAGCACTAGGCTGAGAACTGTTAGGGAGCTTGTGAATCTCCAGCCAAGAGTCTTGGAACACAGGTAAAGGGGCTGTGTGTACACACGGGCCCTCGCAGGCCAGCCTTACCCGAGGCGACTGCCAACCCGGATGGGAGCTTGAGCCCCTGGATGTGGTCTCTGTTGGACTTGAAGGAGGGCAGTTTGATCCAGCCTCCAGACTTGGTCTTCTCCAGAAATTCTTGGTACAGGCTCAGCATATCTGGACACCAGCTGGCATTGGGAAGGGCATAATCCTTCAAGTCTGTCTTCTCTGGACAGAATCTTGAGACCTGTGCAGGAAGAACCAGGGGGACTAGCCAGTGTCCTGAAGGATGAGGGCTGCTGCCTGGGCTGCGGGACCTCTAGGGAGCCAGTTCCTGGGTTCCTGGACTCCTTGGTCCCTTCTGCCTGTGTTAACCTGGGGGGGAGGGCCCATCTTCCTGCAGAGGGTGCGGGACCTCTGTGGGTGACTGGGCAAGGAGGCGCTAAAGAGCAAAGGGAGGAAGGAGAAGGACTGGGCGCCAGAAATTCCAGGCATGCTGCTCCGTGGTGGTGTATTACCCTCCTTCTGCTTTGAAGCCAGAAGGGGCAGGGCTGAGTGGCAGTTCTCAGTGGGAACACGCTTGGCTGAGAACTGCCAATATTGGCCCCACTGTACAGATGGGGAAACTGAGGCAATACCACCAAAGTTGCCAAGCTTGTGAGTGTGAGAGTGGGCAGTCGCACTGGACTTGGTCTGCCCTAGGGAGTGAGGCCACAGTTGGTGAGGGCCACTCTTCTGAGCCCTCTCTTCTGGGGTTAACCCAGGGCTGTCCCCAGCTGTGGGCCTGCCCAGGCAGGGCGGCTCCTCTGAAACACATTTGGGTCCCCACAGAGGTGTGGTGCCATGGCTGGGGCAGAGGCAATGTGTCCACATGTGGAACAAGGGGTGTCCTGTAGCATCAACTGTTCACACACCAATCACAAGTGTGGGCAGCAAGCGAGCTGCTTCTAGCTGGGGATACCCCAACTTAGCTGCAACACTCTGAGCGAGTAGAGGAAGGTGATTTGTTGGTGGCCACACAAGGTTCAGACCAGGATGCAAGTATTTTGCTGGTCTTAGTTTTGAACCAGGGCTACTTGGTATACCAGAGCACCCCCTCATGCCAAATCAAATAGCTCCCCAAAGCCAGCGAGGTGGCTCACGCCTATAAGTAATCCTAGCACTCTGGGAGGCTGAGGCGGGAGGATTGCTTGAGGTCAGGAGTTCCAGACCAGCCTGAGCAAGAGTGAGACCCCCGTCTCAACAAAAATACAAAAATTAGCTGGGTGTGGTGGTGTGCACCTGTAGTCCCAGCTACTCAGGAGGCTGAGGCAGGAGGATTGCTTGAGCCCAGGAGTCTGAGGTTGCTGTGAGCTAGGCTGACGCCACGGCACTCTAGCCTGGGCAATAGAGTGAGGGGAGAAAGGAAAGAAAGAGAGAGAGAGAGAGAGAGAGAGAGAGAGAAAGAGAGAAAGAAAGAAGAAGAAGAGGAGAAGCACTCACTTAAATTCCGCCTCCCACCAAGCTTGAGCTGAGAAGAGATCTGGGTGCTCCTTAAACTCTAGGCTCCCCAGAGAAAGGCTGCTTGTCTGGCTGAGCTGGGAGCTCACTCACCAGGGAGTCTGTGGAGGATCCAAATGCTGAGGCAGGGTTGAGTCCAGGCAGGATACGGGGGGCCCTAAGGAGGGCTCCCTGTTGGCCACATCTTGCTACCACCTGGAGGGCTCTCCTTAGCATGGCTGGGTGCTGGGATCCCAGCCCTGCCTGGATGGGGACCGACTCCTGAGGAGTGCTGTCAGCGCCCCTCCGGGTGTAGGTGCAGCCGCGTCCCACAAGCCTCTCCCTTCTGTCACAGGCTGTCTTTCAGCAGCAGCTCCACTGCAGAGAGACTGGGCAAGGCCGGGCTGGTTTGGTGCAACACCCACAGATGCCTGCAGCCTTTATCTGGTCCCAGAGCCCCACCTAAGCGCTTGGGGTTGGGAGGAGCAGATGCTGCTTGGGCATGAAAGAGCAGCAGGACTGGCCTGAGTTGCTAAAGGAGTAACAGTGTGCTTGAACAAAAGGCATGGGGCACCTGGAGCCTTGTGGTTTCTAGTGGAGGATCCAAGAATATTTCCAGAAGCACAACAGAAATCTGTTCTGTGATTGGAGGGTATTATTGGTGGAACATTTGTGGTATGTGCTCTGCAGTAAGACTTAGAAAGCTCTGGTATGATTTAGGGACTCAGAAACCCAACTCACAACCCTTAGACACCCCCTTCCTATATCCCAGATAAGGATGAGCGCAGGGAAGTCTCACCTCTGGTCCCTGGCTGGGGATAGGAGTTGGGAGTTGGGGAGGGCTTGAGGTGGGAGCACAGAAAATCATCTGGGAGGAAGCAGCTTGGCAAGGAAACACTCATGCTTTGGGAACCCCAGGGAGGGGGTGGTGGCAGCAGATAGTGCTGGGAGCCCAGTGGGAGTGGGGCAGTGGGGACTCTGCCGCCGGCAGGCCTAGAAGCTTGGGTAGGTGAGTGGGAGGAGTGCTCTGCCACTGTCTGCAACCGTGGGCTTTTTTTGGTGGCATTGTTTCTTCAATTGAATTAAAACTGCCCATTTTCAATTGGAAGTCACAGTTTTTAATTTATTAAAATAAAAGCACATTCTAAAGATCGGAACTGGGGCGGGGCATGGTGGCTCATGCTTGTAATCCTAGCTCTCTGGGAGGCCGAGGCGGGACCATTATTCAAGGTGAGGAGTTCGAAACCAGCCTGAGCAAGAGTGAGACCCCATCTCTACTAAAAATAGAAATAAATTAATTGGCCAACTAAAAATATATAGAAAAAAATTAGCCAGGCATGGTGGTGCATGCCTGTAGTCCTAGCTACTCAGGAGGCTGAGGCAAGATGATGGCTGGAGCCCAGGAGTTTGAGGTTGCTGTGAGCTAGGCTGACACCACTGCACTCTACTCAGGGCAACTGTCTCAAAAAAAAAAAAAAAAAAAAAAAAAGATCAGAACTGGGCAAAAGTGGAATCATAATGATGATGATGATGACAATAATAATAGTGACAACTATGATAGTTTGGCAGTTTCCAAAAGATCAAACTGATTTAATTTGGAAATTTAAAGGGTTTGTCTCACCCTATGGATTTGGCTGCCCTAGAAGACTAGAATATAAACATCTCCCCTTACCTCCTGTTAAGGTTTGAATTAAACTTCCTTAAGGACTGGGGGAACCAGTTTTTTGATTGATTCAGGCTCTGGGTCTAACGAGAGATATTTGAATTAGTGGCTGACATTTAAAAAACAGGAAGTTTCCTATAAAGCAGAAGGTCGAGGATCTCCAGAAAAGTGGGACGATCTGCCAGCAATCACCTTTGTTCCCGGGCAGCAGGTTGCTGCGCCTGGCGCCCTGTGGCTGTGCTTGCCCAGGCCTCCCCAGGACTGGGCACCCTCCGTTCCCTTGGCCAGCCTCTGTCTGTGGTCCTTGACTTGGAAGGTGGGACTTGAGGAGGAGACAGGACAAAAGAAGAATCCTAGAGAGGGTAGAGGGACTGGGGAGGAGACAGGAAAGGGGAGTGGGGAGAAGGGGGCTCCTCGGGTGCCCCCCACGGCTGGGGCACCGTGATCCCAGCAAGGAGGACCCAGGAGGAGGAACGGGCTTGTCTTTCCAGGAACAGTGGGCAAACCTGGGGAGGAGATCGCTGGGAGCCCAAGAGCCACCTGGGAGCTGGGTTATCTTCCTGGCAGGGGCAGGTACATGCAGTGGGATCTGATTCTCGTGTTGCCCGACTAGAGGAGTAACACCCTCCCACTTTAGTCATTTCACAATTTTTTGTTAAATTGACTTTCAAATATTTACATAATTATTATGCAACATTTGTTCTCGGCCTTGCCACACGCTATGCTTATATTTCCTTTCTTGTACGACTTTTATTTTCCTGAGTTGATAATTTCAAAGGTTCAGGTGGGCGATGTGTGCGAGGGAGCGCAGGGGGGCGGAAGGAGCTGACGAGTGGCTGAGGTGACCATTTCCCAGCTGCGGGGGGCGGGGGGAGCATCCAAAAGGGAGAAAATAAAAGAAAGGAGGATCCGGCGATGTCGGGTGACGTTGAAGAGCAGACGCGGAAAGACATCTGAGGAGAACACCTATAGGTGACACCGAAACAATGGGCGTGGCCTTCCACTGGGGTGGCTGAAGGAGGTTGGAGGAGCTTATCCAAGTCCATCTGGGAAGAGAGTGGTTAGGACCATTAACAAAGTGCTCCTTTTCCCTTTTCCGACTCCTTTTCCTACCATACTGCACGTCTTGTGGATCTTCTCTGCAACACCGAGCCCTTCTGGGTGTGGGCTGAGTGGTCAGCGATCCAGGGAGGTGGAAAGGTGCCTGGCTAATACTTTGAATGGGTTTTCTTTTTTTCTTTCTTTATTTTTTTTGAGACAGTGTCTCGCTTTGTTGCCCAGGCTAGAGTGAGTGCCTAGCTCACAGTAACCTCAGACTCCTGGGCTCAAGCAATCCTCCTGCCTCAGCCTCCCAAGTAGCTGGGACTACAGTCACGCGCCACCATGCCTGGCTAATTTTTTGTATATATGTATTAGTTGTGCAATTTAATTTCTTTCTATTTTAGAAGAGACGGGTCTCGCTTCTGCTCAGGTGGTTTCGAACTCCTGACCTCGAGCGATCCACTCGCCTCAGCCTCTCAGAATGCTAGGATTACAGGTGTGAGCCACTGCGCCCGGCCCTGGCTAATTTTTTCTATATATTTTTAGTTGCCCAATTAATTGTTTTTTATCTTTATAAGAGACGGGGGGTCTCGCTCTTGCTCAGGCTGGTTTCGAACTCCTGACCTTGAGCGATCCACCCACCTCGGCCTCCCAGAGTGCTAGGATTACAGGTGTGAGCCACCGCACCCAGCCTTTGAATGGGTTTTGTTACAACATGAGCTTTGGTCCCCAACCCTTCTCCCGGTGTACGGATTAAGCTCAGAGAAAATTAAGAAAACTCAGCTTAGAGAAAGCCTCTCCTTAGACCAAGGCTCCCTGGACACACAATCAGAAAAAAGAGGAAAGTCAGTGAAGGTTAAGCGTAACTGAGAACTCCTGCCGGATTCTGATTTAGCTTGTGGCCTGCCTGGGTCATTTCCAGCTTGGCACCCATGGGTGAATGTTGAGTCTGGGGGCTTCTCTTGCTGAGATACGACCTGTCAACACGTCCTGGCCCCGTCTGACTGGTGGTGCACAGGACAAGCAGTGGAGCACTGGCAGGTGTTTAACCATCTTCTCTGGGGTCAGGGGAAGGTTAGGGGAGCTCTGATTTGTAACATTTTGCCAATTTCTGCAGTGTAAATATTCCCACTGCAGCTGATTTCAAGCTGCCAATGTGAAGTCACCCATGCTGGGTATGAAGTGAGGAAGAGATGTGCACAGCTGGCTCTTGTAGACCAGTAGGAACTGGCTCTGGCCACTGCACTAGCGACTTCTCTGGCTCGGAGTGAAACAACAGGGGTAACCAAGGCCTTGGCAGTTTAGCTGATCAGTTCTTGGTTCTCGATCTAAACTTGCTTGTACTTCCCAATCTCTTGGGGTTTCCTTCCCTTGTAAGACTGACTGTGGAGTGCTTAGTCTCTCCAGCCTGTCCTTCTTGCTCCCTGCCTCCTAAACAATAAGACATTTTTTGCATGTTTAAAGATATGTAGTAATTACTAAGAGGAAAATTATTAACATTTCCAGAAATCTTACAAAGACCTCCACATCCTGGGTGGCTCTGAGAACCCTTCTTAGACGATTCTGAACTTGCGGTGGAGCCCCCTGACCTGGGCTGGCTGAGGCCCTGCTGCGATCATGGGAGTCCCAGCACTTCGGAGTGGTTCTGTCGGGGCTGATTCCTACCTGGCCTTTCTGAATGAGGAAGGAACTTCCACAGAACAACATGCCTGACCTCAGATCCCTCCTGAAGACTCAGCCCTGTAGGGTCACCGTAGGCGATTTCTGGAGGGTGCCCAGACTGCCCATTTCCCTGCAGTCTGTGGTTGACTCCCAAACTCCTACCCTCAGGAAAGCTGGGTTTCTTGATCTTCTAGCTAATGGCCAGAGGCCAGCTGGGCAGGAGCAGCTGTGTATAATAGTGGTGGTGGGCACACCTAGGGGTACTCAGAGGGGGTGACCCTTGTTCCACTCCATGCAGGAGTTGCATGGTGGAATGTGTGCCCAGTTGCCAGCGCTTCTGATTTTCCAAGAAAAGCTGGTGCAAATCTAGACTGTGTGGAACCTTAGAACCTTTGGATGTTGCAACTAACTTATAAAAATACGGAATGAATGAGCCAAACTGAATGTCTCTGATTGGATCTTATCCTGTGGGCTACCTGGTTCTAAACTCATTCCCGAGCATCCCAGGAGTCTGCCCTTGTCTGCCCCAGATCTAGTTCTGATTGTTCCCAGATTAGCTACCATTTCCTGGTTCCCTCTGGGAGGGGCCTTCCTGAGACCTATTTTATACCCTGATGCCCATAGTGGACCCTTTGGAAAGTAAAATAATTGTCACATGTTAAGATGAATGAATCAGTTGGCTCTACACCGCCACGGGGTTTGTGCTTCATCTGGTTTCTAAGGGTTCTGGTTTTTGCTGTTAGAAGGTATTAATGTGCAGCTTGGGGAAGGGCCCAAGCTCAGTCTCAGTCCAGGGATGTCCCCAGAAAACTCTCTTGACAAAACCTGAGACATAGCATGGGAGCTAAAAGAAAAGGTTGCTGAGTGCTCTGCCCAGAGGGGCCCGAGGTGGTTGGACTCGATGTGCCAGCCTGGGTGAAGAATGGCCCAGGGCTGTGGCAGAGGACCCTGTGCCTAGGGCGGTCAGGGCAGCTGATGTATAGGTGCTGGCTCCAGGTGGCAGCTGCCAGTGTGGTCACAGGGCTGAAGGAGGGGGTCTCAGCAGAGAACGGGGACAGGGAACTGGGTTGGGGCCAAGGAGAACCTGAGGCCACTCCCCAAATGTCAGAGCCCCGACCACTGCTCAGCTGAAACTGAATTCCCGTTTGTGAAATGCTAAGAGAGGCAGGACCTCTAAGCTCAGAAAGCTGCAGTGACAAATCCTGAGGGGGGGTTGTGTGTCTGTACACACACCCAGGGTGGGGCTCACAGGCTCTGCCAACCCGGTTCCTGAAGTTCCCTCCTCCTCAAACCCAGGCAATAATTTGAGAGGCGACACCATCAAACCAATGCATGGGACAGCCACACGGTGCCACTGGCATATCTGCTTCACCAGCTTGGGTTACAAAGTAAAGCCACCTTCCTTTTAAAAAGCATATTAAACAACTGACACCCTGATATCCTGAGCCCCTTTCTCCCCTGAAAACTCTGAAACAGGGGTGTCACTAACTGTTGAGCCAGCCCAGGAGCCACGCTCCTGAGCCCTTCAGATGGTGACTTCATCAGCTGCTGGGAGTGCTCAGGACTCCAGCCCCCTTTCCTCAGGGTTGTGAGCATCTTGCTCCCATGGCCCTGACAGGCCATTGTCCTTGTGATGGCCACAGCAGGGGCTGGGGTGGGGCGGGGGTGCAGGTTAGTCCTGTTCTGGCCTCAGGGGTGACTCAGCTCCCAAGCCACTCCAGAGGGGCCCTTGAGCACTGTCCCTGCAGGGGAACCCCCAATGTTCTACCACCTCCACCCCTGCCTCGGAGCTCCCCGGCAAGGAGCTCTCTCCTTTTGGGGCAACTTTCCCTGACAAATCCCCTGTAGCCACCATCTCGGCCTCCCTTCTCCCAGCCAGTCCTCTGCCGCCTTTTGGTCAGGCGTCCTCTTCTCAGAATTCTTCTCATCTTTCACAAGAGTTCCCAGAGTATAAAACTTGGGCAGGAATAATTAACATCTAAAACACTGGTTCTTCTTTTCCTGGTAGGGCTCTATCTTCATGCCTCTAGAGGGTGAGGGGAAAGTTTCCTACTAAACCAGCCTGCCCATAGGTTTCCCTCCTCGGAGCTGGGCTGTCCAGGAGCGCCCGGCTTTGCAACTGTGGACACAGTCTGGGTTCTGTTTCTGAAGACAAAGAACCCATTGGGAAATCCCTTCCTTCCCGTGGCTGTGGCTCCTGGCTTTCGGCAGGGCAGGGGAGCTCTGGAGATGAGCCCTTCTTGGAGGGGCACCTCTCCGGTCCATGCCTGGGCACTGGGCACACAGCATCCCCACGGTGCCTTGGTGGCTCCATCAGTCATAGCTGCTCCAGTGTAGAGTTTCTCAGTGCCAGAGTGCGAGAGAAAGCCTTGCTCCCTCCCCAGCACCCTCTGTTAGGCTGAGCTGGCCTGCCTCCTCGGCACTATGGGCTTCACTCCGTGCCCCCGCCATCAGCAGCTGCGGCTTCAGAATGACATGGTCATTTAGTACATGCACAGGCACATGCACATACGGGGGCACATGCACATGCACACAGACACAAGTATGCTGTGTGGTCACGCACATACGCATAGTCACACATGCATGCACGTGTACTCACATTCACTCATATCCATAGATGTGGACACACACTCACAGAAACATACACATGCACATAGCACACAGGTTTATGCACACATACATATATGTACTCACACACACATGTATGATGCCCACACATGCACATGCACATGCACAGGCACTCAGCTTCCACCTCTTTCAGGTGGGAATCATAGCTCGTAGAGAGGCTGTGTGCTATTGGGAAATTTACTTAAACCTCACACAATTTGCTCACCTGTAAGTTGAGGGTATCAATAGGATCTAAGAAGTAACGGAGGTGACACAAATAATGTTTACACAATGCCTTGCAAATTGTAATTTTAAGTAATAACTATCATTTTTTTCACAGTTAATGACTTGTACTGCAGCAGGCTCGAACCACTGAAGAGCAGCGTTATGGGCTAATTCATCTTCATTCTACTCACGGATGGTTGATATGGTTTGGATATTTGGCCTCTCCAAATCTCATGTTGACATGTGATCCCCCATGTTGGATGCAGGAGTGGTTTGGGTCATAGGCACGGATCCGTCATGAATGGCTGGGCACCCTCCCCGGATAATGAGTGAATTTTCACTGTGTTAGTTCACAGGAGAGCTGGCTGTTTAAAGGGCCTGGCACCTCCTCCTCCATCTCTTGCTCTCTCTCTTGCCGTGTGACATACCTGCTCCCCCCGACCGGACTGGAAGTTCCCTGAGACTCCACCAGAAGCTGATGCTAGTGCCATGCTTGTACAGTCTGCAGAACCGTGAGCCAAATAAACCTCTTTCCCTTATAAATTACCTGGCCTCAGGTATTTCCTTTATAGCACTGCAAAATGGACTACATTGATGGATACAGTCCCTTCATAAACAGAATCTGTATGTCTTTTTTTTTTTTTTTCATTTAAAGGTTTATGGAAAAAAAAACAAGGTGGATCTAGAATCATAAGATTTTAAGAAAACCAAAGCAGTTGACAGATGAGAAAGCTCAGTTATAGATGCAAATTTACAACTAAAATACTATGGTAGTACAAAAATACATTTAACTGTATGTCATCTTTCACAAGATAAAAATCTTGCATTAAATCTGTTGCACATATGCTCATAAAAATGTTCTTTAAGGTCAAGGTAAATCACTGCCTCCGAAGCTGACATTCCTCCATTTTTGCTCCCTTCTTTCCCCACCCCTTCTGCTCTTGGTAGGACCGTCATGCTCTGGAAGCAGAAGGCTGAGCTCTGGAGAGACAGGGCTTGCAGGAGGGGCGTGAGCTGCCATAGCTAAAGGGTGGGCACATGTCCCCAGGGGAGCCAGCAGGGACCCTCATTTTCATTAAAATAATTCATAATTGTACATACACTGTTCAGGGTATGAATACTGCTCTAATAGAAGATGTCCCAAGTTCGATCCATGAGCTGCAAAGCCACCCTAACCTGTGCAGGCAGGCCATGAGTCATATCTTACTCTGTCCCAAGGTTGCTTCCTGTAGCAAGTCCAGGAAGCCAGGAGCCACTAGGGCCAAGGGGACAGACCCAGTTCCTAACATGGAAAACAGGGTGGGAGGACTACTGAGGGACCCAGTAGTCTTTGATGCTGGTGCTGCTGTCACCTCTGCTGTGTCTCTACCCACTGTGTCACCACCCACTGTGGTGGGTGTCACTGTGGTGGGTGTCAGCGGGTGTCACCACCCACTGTGGTGACAGAGGCACATCCCCCACTGAGCCCATCTTTCCTCCACACTTATGGCCACCTAAGCACACCCTTGCCTCCATGATAACAGCCACCATGACTTTTTGGGGATGGGGTGAGAAGAGGAAGTTCCTCTCCCAAGAGTGAGGCTCCCTTCTGGGTGCTCCCACCAGGTGGGCCTGGGTCCGCACTGCTATGACACTCAACAGACAGCTTGTCAGCTGTGGTCACATATGCATGGCCACCTCCTTGCATTCAGACTCTGTCCCCAAAGGCTGAAGGGGCCCATTTTGGAGTCCAGCCACCTTGTGGCCCTGACTCTACAAACCCTTCTCCTTCTGGCTCTTGCCCACTGCTCCTGCCTTTTTCTGCCCTGGTCCCTCCCATGGGAGCCCTCCCCCCATGCCACCCAGATACTTCCAGACACAGTTCAAACACTTTGAATCTGGAGATCTTGGTCCTTTCCCTCTTAGAAAGACCCAGGATGCTTGTGCAAATCACCCCTCCCTGCCTCTGCGATTGCTCTCCAGCTGCACAAACCAGCAGTTAAAGGGGGTGTGCGTGGGAAGAAATGTGACTTGGCTCTACCTGTCCCTCTACCTGCCCGACAAGATTCCATGACTGGGGACATAAACAGGGATAAGTCAATAAGAAGTGGCTAAATCACCTGGAAAAATGCTTTGAAGTATTTACTCACCAAGCACTTCACTGTTGATATGTTGAGCTTATCTCCTCCATTGTCCTGTAAATTCCTTGACTACAGCTATGCTTATTTACTATTCAAGCTCTGAACACTTAACACATTTCTGTGTATTTTGTGGGTTCAGAAGTATGCTGACCTGGCTCCAAACCAAGGTGGGCAGAGTGACCATAATGGTAAACGTGTACATGGGATTACCAGGTACCCTTCTAATTATTTTATATTTGTTGACTCACTTCATCCCATGACAATCCTAGGAAACAGGGACTAATGTTACTTCCATTTTGCAGATGAGGACACAGGGGTGCTCAGAGGCGACCTAACTTGCCCAATGGCACAGAGCCAGGACTGGAACCCAGGCGTCGATCTCCCAAGCCCAGGCTCCGACTTTCTTTCACTGTAACAAAGACCGACGGGACATGGGCTGCCAGAGGACTCCTTGGAGGCAGTCTAGGCAGGATGAGGAGCCACCAGAAAAAGGACCAAGAGTTGCCGAGTTCTCCCACCAGCCAGAGGCTGTAACTCATGGCCCAAGGGTCTCCTTACATGAGCACGGAGCCCAGCCCTGGCCAGCAGAAGCCAAGTTTCAGTGAGTTTCATCTTTTCCGTAAGGATGGGGTGTCCACTTTTCTACCTGGGATGGGGTGGGGGGGATACAGACATATATTTACTGAACACTGGACATGTATTATTTACTCTTTTAAGCCCCGCGACATCCCTATGAGGTATGCACTATTTTAAAAATTCAGTTTTTATCAAAGTAGTAGTTGCATGTAGTTGAGAGTCAAACCTTGCAGAAGCAATGTTTATTACTGAAAACCTGCATTCCTTCCACCCTGCTCCATTTTCGACTTCCAGAGATTCTATCACATTTAACTATTATAGCTGTTTCTTTGGTTTTCAAAACTTTTTGCTTAAGGTGCTACATTTTTATTTTTTAGTATGAGGTTTAGATTTGACAAGGTACTCTGATTTCATTTCCCTTACCATCATTTCCACATTTTATTTTGAATTAGAACCCATGAAACTTCAACATACATACATTAGGTTGTTAAAAGGAGCTTTGTAAGAATTTGCGTATTTAGTGATTAGATGTTTAAGATTTCTATTATATTGGAGTGAATTATCTCTTTTTTTTTTTTTTTTTTTTTGAGACAGAGTCTCGCTTGTTGACCAGGCTAGAGTGAGTGCCGTGGCGTCAGCCTAGCTCACAGCAACCTCAAACTCCTGGGCTCAAGCAATCCTTCTGCCTCAGCCTCCCGAGTAGCTGGGACTACAGGCATGCGCCACCATGCCCGGCTAATTTTCTCTATATATTAGTTGGCCAATTAATTTCTTTCTATTTATAGTAGAGACGGGGTCTTGCTCTTGCTCAGGCTGGTTTCGAACTCCTGATCTCGAGCAATCTGCCCGCCTCAGCCTCCCAGAGTGCTAGGATTACAGGCGTGAGCCACCGCGCCCGGCTTGAATTATCTCTTAAGGAACAAAATAACTTAATACTGGCATTGGGAGGCTCAATCCTACTCTTCCAAATTCTCAGTCTTCCACCTCGCAATTTATCTGCTGCCAATTTTTAAGTCCTGATGGTTTTGTTTCAACAGCATTTCCAGGCTTTTATCACAAATATACAAGTTTCTGTGTGGATGTAGCTTTCATTTATCTTGGATTTATACCCAGAAATAGAATTGCTGGGTCATATGGTAATTCTTTGCCAAACTAGTTTTCCACAGCAGCTGCACCATTTTATATCCACCCAGCAGTGTATGAGGGTTTCTAATTTTCTATGTCCTTGCTGACACTTGTTATAGTATGGGTGTGAAATGGTATCTCATTGTGGTTTGATCTGTATTTCTCCAGTGATTAGTGGTGTTGGGCATGTGCTTATTGGCTATTTCCATATCTTCTTTGGAGAAATGTCTATTCAAGTCTTTTTGCTCATTTTAAAATTGAGTTGTGTTTTTATTGTTGAGTTGTAAGAATTCTTTACATATTCAGAATACTAAATGCTTGTCAGATATACAATTTGCAAATATTTTCCCCATTTTTTTTCACCTTATTGGTAATATTCTTTTTTTTTTTTTTTTTTTTTTGAGACAGAGTCTCACTTGTTGCCCAGGCTAGAGTGAGTGCCGTGGCGTCAGCCTAGCTCACAGCAACCTCAATCTCCGGGGCTCAGCGATCCTCCTGCCTCAGCCTCCCGAGTAGCTGGGACTACAGGCATGTGCCACCATGTCCGGCTAATTTTTTTTTCTATATATATTAGTTGGCCAATTAATTTCTTTCTATTTATAGTAGAGACGAGGTCTCGCTCTTGCTCAGGCTGGTTTCGAACTCCTGACCTTGAGCAATCCGCCCGTCTCGGCCTCCCAGAGAGCTAGGATTACAGGCGTGAGCCACCACGCCCGGCCGGTAATATTCTTTAATGAACAAAAGTTTTTAATTTTTATGAAGTCTTGTACCCTGCAACATTGCTGAATTCATTTATTAGTGCGTTTTTTTCTTGTGAATTCTTTGGGATTTTCTATATGAAGGCATGTTGTCTGCAAATAGTTTTACTTCTTCCTTTCTAATTGCATGCCATTTCTCTCTCCTTAATTTCTATGACTGGGGCTTCCAGTACCACGTTGAATTGCAGTAAAGTAGAAATCCTTATCTTGTTCCTGACCTTAGAAGAAAGATTTCTGTTTTTCAACACTGGGTATGATACTAGCTATGTGTTTTTCATAAATTATGTTCAGGAAGACCTCTTCTATTCCTAGTTTTCTGAATGTTTTTGTAATGAAAGGGTGTTGGGATTTTTGTCAAGTGCCTTTTCACCTCAATTGAGATGATCATGTAGTTTTACTCCTTTGTTCCATGAATGTGGCATATTACTTTGATTTTCTTATATTGAATCACTTGCATTTCTGGAATAAACCCCATTTCGTCATAGTGTATAATCTTTCTAATGTGCTATTGGGTTTGGTTTGCTAGTATCTTTTTGAGGATTTTTGCATCTGTGTTCACAAGGGATATTGTCGCGCCCGCCTCGCCAGCAAGGAAGACGCGGCAACCGGAGTTCTTCTGACAGTGCTTTAATGGGGTTCCCTTTAGACTTACATGATGCGGAAGACCCAGCCCGGCAGCGCGCAGGCCGCTATATACCCCAGAAGCACAACCCCTAAGCTGGGATAGGCCGCTCAGCTGTCGAGCCGCCAAAGCATTAGTCCATAGCAGGACCCTTCGTTTGCATTCTCGCGCCACAGGGCAACCGACAATTGCGCATGCGCTGAACTTGTTAGCTGCTCTAGGCAAAGCCGGAAACAGGCGCCAACTTGTAAATGGTGTTGACACCGCGCCCCACAGGATATTGGTCTATAGTTTTGTCTTGTCTTTTTTCTGTTTTGGTGTCTTTGCAGCCCACCTAGTTTTAAATCTATATTTAAGAACAATTGGAATAAAACAATTCTATAATTCTAAACTGGCCATAGGAGTGCTAGACCAAGAATACTATCAAATGATATTTTAAACTTGAGGCATAAAATCCATGACTTAAATTTGACAGAGATTGAGTTGTTTCCTCCATAGATAATGTTGTATATACGTGGCACTGAAAAATATATGTTTGTGTAGGGTCCATGATGGCTAGTTATTAGGTAGAACAATAATCTGGCCTCACAACTCCCCAGTAGGGGGAGGGCCAAGGGTCTGGAGACGGTAATGGGTGGGAATCTTCATTCAAAATGTTATTTAAGGCCGGGCGCGGTGGCTCACGCCTGTAATCCTAGCTCTCTGGGAGGCCGAGGCGGGTGGATTGCTCGAGGTCAGGAGTTCGAAACCAGCCTGAGCAACCAAAAATAGAAATAAATTAATTGACCAACTAAAAATATATATACAAAAAATTAGCCGGGCATGGTGGCACATGCCTGTAGTCCCAGCTACTCAGGAGACTGAGACAGAAGGATCACTTGAGCCCAGGAGTTTGAGGTTGCTGTGAGCCAGGCTGACGCCATGGCACTCACTCTAGCCTGGGCAACAAAGTGAGACTCTGTCAAAAAAAAAAAAAAAAAAAATGTTATTTACCATGCAGTGCAAAGGGGGAAACAGGCAATGAGGAATAGTTTCATTAGGTCACACAGCAAGCTGGTGATGGAGGGGAACGAGACACAATTCTGATGGCATCTCCCTCCCTCCTTCCGACTGTTCAGCCACCTCTTGCCGTTTTACCTATTGGTCAAAATACAGCTGATGGGGGCAAGAAAGCCAGGGCTTAGGGAAGCCTACGAATAGGCTGCTATAAAGCAGGGAAACCCTGTGTTGACAGTGACTGGGCTTTTCTCTTGGTGGCTCTCGTGCAGCATCTCACTCACATGCTGCAACGACCTCGGACAGGCTCAAACCAGTGTGAAAACTAAAACTGTAAAAGTGGATAGAAAGCGGGGTGAGCATACTTAATAGGAAGAAGAAAAACTGGTCATTTGGCCTTCTTTAGTTAGGTTCTTCTGCCTTGGGTGGAGGTCTGATGTGCTGCTGCAGTTTTGCAAGCCTGTCAGCTAAACCAAATGATGAGAGTAAAGTGCTTTCACTGTTAAAACTTCCATGTGTTAAGTGAAACTAGACAGCAGTGCTGGCTCATTCCTTCAGCTTCACATTTTTCAACACGTGGGATACAGCTGTCATAAGAGCCCACTGTGTCTTGCAGTTTCAGAATTAGCTGGAAGGAAGACTGGGAATAAAGGCTGGCTGTTGCCAGACATGTAAATTGCAAGGCTGTGAGCTCAGCCGTTTGCCAGGCATGTTTCCAAGGAGAAGGAACTACCAGCTTCACCTCTGTCGTGTCCCTCCCCCCTCTGCTGGGCTCCCCATCTACTGGTCCCTTTCCTGCAGCTTGACACTGGAGACACAGCCTCCCGGACTTGGGTCTTCTTCTGGCTTGGCTATTCCAGGGTCAGTCGGCTCTGGCAGTGGAGGGCTCCTGCTGATATTTTGGCTATGGGAGGATGACTGGGTAGGTATCACAAGGCTTACCCTAAGTTATTAGGTAAGACCATAGGAAATTGTCAATATTTAACCATTCTGATCTTCAGAAATGGTGATTTCATATAGTTAAGCTTAAACTTTCAATAAAGGGAAAGAAAGGCAAGAAACTGAAGCCCAGATAATCTATTGCCTGCATTAGGAAGCAGACTATGTTTTCCAGAACATTAGTCTCCCCATTCATTTTTAGTCTTATCTTAATTGTGTCCCCCCCTAAAAAGGTAAGTTGAAGACCTAATTTCTAGTAGCATATAATGTGACCCTATTTGGAAATACAGTCTTTTTTTTTTTGAGACAGAGTCTCACTTTGTTGCCCAGGCTAGAGTGAGTGCCATGGCGTCAGCCTGGCTCACAGCAACCTCAAACTCCTGGGCTCAAGTGATCCTTCTGTCTCAGTCTCCTGAGTAGCTGGGACTACAGGCATGTGCCACCATGCCCGGCTAATTTTGTATATATATTTTAGTTGGTCAATTAATTTATTTCTATTTTTGGTAGAGACGGGGTCTCGCTCAGGCTGGTTTCGAACTCCTGACCTTGAGCAATCCGCCCGCCTCGGCCTCCCAAAGTGCTAGGATTACAGGCATGAGCCACCACGCCTGGCCGGAAATATAGTCTTTACAGAGGTAATCGAGTTAAAATGAGGTCATTCAAGTGGGCCCTACCAATATGACTGGTATCCCCTGTATTTTATTTTCTTTCTTGCTTGCTTTATTTTTTGTTCTCCCCCTCCCCTGGTATCCCTGTAAAAAGGGGACATTTGGACACAGAGACAGATATGCACAGAGAGAAGATGATGTGAAGACACACAGAGAGGATGACATGTGAAGATGGAGTGATGCAGCTACAAGCCAAGGAATGCTTGAAGCTACTAGAAGCGAGGAGAGACACACGGACCAACCCCTTCCTTAGCACCCCCAGAGGGAGAACAGCTTTGTTGACATCTTGAATTTGGACTTCTGGCCTCCAGAACCGTAAGACAATGAGTTGATGCTGGTTTAAACCACCCAGTTTGTGGTGCTTTATCATAGCAGCCCTAGGGAACTCATTCAGCACACTTCCAGTGACAACTATGGTGCAGGGAACACGCAACAACCTATGTTAGAAATGGTACAGTAGTTTAATATCTAGAATCCTAGACAACAGATGTGAGGTATCCATTCCTACAGGAACTGGTTGTGTTTCCTACTCGGAAGAAAAAGATTTGTTCGCTTAGAGACAACAAGACTAGCTTTGTACTTACAATGTGTATGCATATGCACACACACCTATGTATATATTCCTTCATTTGGTTTTCTAGCATTTCCAAGTTTGCAGTAAAAGTTTCAACACAAATTTTTTCTCCAGGGAGGGGAGAGGCGCGGATAGGTATTTTCACACCTAATGGGTGTGGTGCACACTGTCTGGGGGATGGATACACTTGAAGCTCTGACTTGGGTGGGGCAAGGGCAATATATGTAACCTAAACATTTGTACCCCTGTAATATGCTGAAATTAAAAAAGAAATTAAACAAAATTATTAAAAAATTTTTTTTTCTCCAGTCTGCTGTGGGACAGACATCATGCTTGTGCAACTTTAAGGAGCCCATTCAAAGCTGAGGAGAACCAGACACATGTCCTAAGGAGACACAAAGAATTGCTGATACTCTCACTGTTTCTGTGCTAAAAAGTTTAGAAGGTGGAAACTTGGTTCCTAAAACTGTATTCAGAAGACTGCTTAGGAAGGTCTGCCGGCTTCTCCCTACGGGGGATTCAGCAGTGGGTGAGCAGAGTAGGTATGGAGATAACTGCTTCTTCCGGAAGGGGACAGCCTTATGCAGAATGGTGTGGAATTCACCAGTAGCTCTTTTATGTCAGACTTTTATCAGGATCCAGCTGTATAAATAAGCCTAAACAAACAAAATAACAGAAGATGATTATAAGTCAACTGACTTCAATCTGATGGAACTCAAAATAGACATATCCAAAGGAAGGCATTTAGATTCATATTTGTACCTTCAGTCTATATGCCCACTATCACTTTTTAGCTAAATTAAGAATCAACTTTTGACTATCACAACACTGTATTACCTCCCCCTGGGTAACCAGGTCCTCACCACTTGGCCATTTCACGGTTCATTACCACTTCCATTAGAGATAGTCAGGGAAATGAAAAGAAGTAAAATTACAACTGAACCATCTGGCACCTTTATGATACTGAAAGGTTTAGTAAGACAGTACAAACTACAGCCTGGAATGGAATTCTTAAATTGACTGTGGACTCAAATTATTATCTTCCTCCTGTGCCTTTTATCCATCATTCCTGCGAACAGCTGATACTTGGGAGAAAAACCAATTTCTTAAACAAGACACAAAAAGCATTAACCATAAAGGGAAAAATCTAATAAATGTGACTATATTAACATTAAAAACTTCTGTTAATAAAAAAGATACCTTAAAGCAAATAAAAGACAACTTATGTGCTGGAAGGAGATATGTACAACTTATATGTCCAATAAAAGAATTAGTCTAATGTAAAATACATAAGGAACTCCTAAAAATCAGTAAGAAAATGAAAAAATAGAATGAGCTGAATTGAACAAACAAGAATTTCACAGAAAAAGAAACAAATACAGTCATAAATATATGAAGAGACAGTCAATTCTTCAGGGAGTATCTCAGGGTAATCAGGGAATACAAATCAAGATTACACTGAGATACCATTTTATAACCATTTGATTGGCAAATATCAAAAAGTCTGACTTCACTAGTTGCTAGAGAATCAAAAGAATCTCATATATTGGGAGTATAATTTGGTACAGCTTTAGAAAGTAATCTGGCATTATTCCCCTGTGAAGTTGAACATTCACATACCCTATAATCCAGAAATTCTACTCCTGAAGTATATGCCAAGCTCTTGCCCATGCAGGCCACCAGGAGACATGAACAAGAATGTTCGTGGCAGCCCCATTCATAATAGTCAGAGGCCCGTCATCACAAGAGATAAATGCGTTGTAGTATAGTCACATGTGGAGTGTTACACAGCAGTAAAAATGAGTAAACTACACAGCCAACGATATGGATAAACCACAGTAACATAAAGCTGAGTGAAAAAAATCAAGTCCCAGGAAAGGATATGTTATGTCATGATCTCTTTTCTACAAAGTTCAAAAATAAACAACTGAATGAGATATTCCTTAGGGATACATATATTCTTTTTTTTTTTTGAGACAGAGTCTCGCTTTGTTGCCCAGGCTAGAGTGAGTGCTGTGGCGTCAGCCTAGCTCACAGCAACCTCAAACTCCTGGGCTCAAGCAATCCTACATCCTACTGCCTCAGCCTCCCGAGTAGCTGGGACTACAGGCATGCACCACCATGCCCGGCTATTTTTTTTTTTTTTTATATATTTTTAGTTGGCCAATTAATTTCTTTCTATTTATAGTAGAGACGGGGTCTTGCTCTTGCTCAGGCTGGTTTCGAACTCCTGACCTCGAGCAATCCGCCCGCCTCGGCCTCCCAGAGTGCTAGGTTTACAGGTGTGAGCTGGTTAATATTTGGATGGTAGAATGGGAAGAACCTCTCTGCTTTTTCTACACTAATGATAACATATTATATTCATTGTCCTACATCTTGTGTTCTTCATTCAATATACGTTAATAAGATAGCTCCACGTCAAAGAACTTCCTTATTCTTATTTATGGCACCACAGTATTTTTTATGGCATACACACACAATATAGTTTATAGATGAGCTGTAGTTCTTTCTCCTATGGATAGCTATGTTTTGACAATCGTTTGCTATTATAAATAATATTTAACGAGTAACACAATTACTGCAACCCACAGCAACCTAATACATTATTATTTTGCATACCTTAATGTACTTGTGAGATGAAGTCCTGAAGTGGGCCAAAGGGCACACAACTTTGTAATTTTGATAGATATTGGCAGATAGCCCTGTACCAGCAATGTATAAGAATACCTCTAACTTGTTCTTTGCATGAAAGGGAATTAAGAATTTCTAAGGCTGGGCATAGTGGCTCATGCCTGTAATCCTAGTATTCTGGGAGGCTGAGGCAGGAGGATCGCTTGAGGCCAGCAGTTCAAGACCAGCCTGAGCATTTCTACATAAAATAGGAAAAGTTGGCTGGCATGGTGGCACGTGTGTATAGTCCCAGCTACACAGGAGCCTGAGATAGGAGGATCACTTGAGTCCAGGAGTTTGAGGTTGTAGTGAGCTAGGCTGACGGCACAGCACTCCAGCCTTGGTGATAGAGCAAGACCCTGTCTCAAACAAAACAAAACAAAACCAAAAACAAACAAAGGAATTTCCGGGTTTGTGTGGGTTACAAAACCAAAGCAAAAAATCAAACTAAACAAACCCCGCTCAAAACCCAAACCAAAAAGCAAACAAACGAAAACCCCAACCCAACCCAACTCCCCAAAAGAAATAGTAGCAGCTTCTTACCTGTTGCCTCTGAGTGTAGGGTCTTCTCATCAGCACTTTGAACATTACCGGAAACAAAAATTTTTCTTCCTTCAACTTTATCAACTTGGCTATTTATCACAACAACAGAACAAAGAGGGATAGGTCTGCAGAGAAAAAGAAAAAGGAAAAAAATGAGTTTCAGAGTTATGTAACATTGAAAGATGATCAAGTGTATGACAAGGGGTGGAAATTTATAATATCTGATATCAGTGAGCATTGACTGCCCTGGGTAACACATTTCTCAAGGGCTCAGGCACCAATTCCCTCTCATGCCCCCTTTTCCCAAGCACCACTGTTTTCAGAGGGTGGCTCCTGGTCATACAGTCCTTGTCTGCCCTTCTGGGTTTGGTTTGAAGAGATTACCAGGGATTCCAGCTCTGTGATAGCAGAGACTGTCCCCTTTGGAGACCCAGAGCAAAGTCTGAAGGGAGCCGAAATCTTTTACAGAAGTGAAAATAGGGTCATGGGATAGTCCCAGGTAACTTCTCTCATTTCCTCTGTCATTATCAAAATTTCTTATCTAATTCCCTTTAGAGTACTGTCACTAGAATATACCTAATAACAACAAATTGCTGATAACACCTTACTGTTGTAGGCCAGTGCTGTTCAGCATAACTTTCTGTGATGATACAAATAAATGCTCCATCTCTGAGCTGTCCAATATGGTAGTGCACACTGAGCACTTGAAATGTGGTTAGTATAAATGAGAAACTGATTCATTAAATTTATTTAATTTTAAGTAACTTATATTCATATTTATTTATGTTTATTTTTGAGACAGGCTCTCGTTCTATTGCTCTGGCTAGCGTGCAGTGGTGTCATCATAACTCACTGCCACCTCAAACTCCTGGGCTCAAGTGATCCTCCTGCCTCAGCCTCCTGAGTAGTTGGGACTAGAGACAATGTCTCCCTATGTTGCTCAGGGTGGTCTCAAACTTCTGGCCTCAAGTGATCCTACTGCCTTGGCCTCCCAAAGTGCTAGGATTACAGGTGTAAAACACTGTGCTGGCCTAATTTATATTTAAATGTAAATAGTTACACATGACTAGTGGCTATAGTCAGCTCTGGGAATCTTGGATGTACAGTATCTTAATGAAAAAGATATCTCTTTAAAGGTGAAATTTCAGTGAGCAGAAACATAAGGTAGAGAGCATGGAAGCGCTCCTACAGTGCTACCAAGTAGATGATGGAACCACTCCAGGCAGAGAGGAAGTTATCACTGTGATTATTCCTCTGCCCAGTTTCCCTTCCTATAATCTTTTAATAACTACTTCTATTAGCTTTTCATGAACCTCTTGATGGAACAACCCAGCTTTGCTATTTTGTTGAGCCAATTCAAAATTGACTAAGACCCTGGGGACAGTAGATGTTCTTGCCTGGACAGCATCTCCCTTTTCTATTGACATTACTCTCTTCATTTACCTAGCCACTACGCCTCACTTCATTCTCTCTTTCACACACTCAAAGACTCATTCACTGGGGAACCATCTCTCCCTCATTCTTAGCCATATAGGGTGACTAGAGTTGACAGGTTGATGCTCCCCACCCACAGTGACTGGTTGTGGGGGTGGGCACAGGCTGAAAGAGTCAATCCTTGAACTTATGCTGGAGCCTTTGGAGCTGGATTCTTTTTCCCTGAGGTTGCTGGGCTTATAAGGTACAAGCCTGGCTGGTGGCCTTTGTGCCGCTCCACTAGGAAAGGCTACCTGAGGATGAAGCAGACTGAGAAGAAAGCGTGGCTGAGATCCCAGCCATACCTGACTTCTCAGCCACACAAACTTTACATTATGTTACCTTTTTTTTTGCTTAATCTAATGAGTTAAGAGTTCCAGCTCTTGCAATAGAAAGTCCTAGAATCTTAGAGAGGCTTATAGGAAGGATCTCAGAAAATACAAAATAACGTAACTACTATCACAACTATGTTTATAGAATACAATTTTCTATATGTAACTAATATTTAGGTGCAGGTTAGTTTGGTTGGCATAGAAAACTGGCTTTAGATCATTTTCCTTAGTCCAGTTTTGCCAGACAACTTAATTAAACTTGTTATAGAGGCTGAAAGGTGATAACAATGATAAAAGCAACATTTAAAAATAAAAGAGAAAACACACACACACACACACACACACACAACACTTCAACAAAACCGAAAGACAGCTCTTTGAAAAGACTACTAATCTTTGGCAAGACAGATAAAAAAAAAAAAAAAGAGAGAAAGCATAAATAAATACTATTCGGGCCCAAAAAAACCTACAGATTTAGCTGAGATTTTAAAAAAATGAGATTATGAATAACTTCATATCAATATATTTGAAAACTTAATTGAAATGAAAAAAATCTCAGGAATATGTTATGAAAATTGACAATAAAATGATTAGAAAGGCGAATAGTTAAATAAAGACATTAATGCCCTATGGGGATAGAACCACACTTGGGAATGAGCCTGGGTCTCTGAATCACTTCATGGGAATAGTCTCTCACTGACCAGTTTAACCACATGGGACTCTTATGTAAACAAAAAAAGTCTATTGGTTTAAGGTAGTAAAATATAAGGGCTGTTACAGTAGCTAGTGTTATTATAACTTACTACAGATTTTAAAAAAATTCTCTTATTTTTGACTTTCTAATTTAATGTGGCCAGAGAACTTGGCCTGTAAGATTCTAATTCTTTAAAATTTATTGAGATTTGATTTGTGAACCAATACATGATCAATTTTTACAAATGTGTGTTGGGAAAGTACCTTTTTTCTCTAATTATTGCATATAGAGTTTTACATTTGTCCAACAAGTCATTTTGTTATCTTGTAGTGTTTAAATCCTGTTTTCTAATTTTTTTGTTTGCTTGTTTTTTAGAAATGGAGTCTTGCTGTTACCCAGGCTGGAGTGCAGTAGCTATTCATAGGCATGACTATAGCACAATGCAGCTTCCAACTTTTGGCTCAAGTAATCCTCCTGCCCAGCCTCCTGAGTAGCTGGGAGCATAGCTACCACTGTAGCCACCACTGCACCACCAAGCCTGGCTCTAATTGTTTTGTCTGCTTGACCTATCAGTAATTGAGAACAGTGTGTTGGAATGTCCCACTATGAAGCTGGATTATTCAATTTCTCCCTACTATCCTACAAATTTTGGTTATTTATTTATTTTTTTTTGAGACAGAGTCTTGCTCTGTCGCCCGGGCTAGAGTGCTGTGGCATCAGCCTAGCTCACAGCAACCTCAAACTCCTGGGCTCAAGCAATCCTCCTGCCTGAGCCTCCCGAGTAGCTGGGACTACAGGTATGTGCCACCACACTCGTCTAATTTTTTTTCTATTTTTAGTTGTTCATCTAATTTATTTTTATTTTTAGTAGAGATGAGGTCTTGCTCTTGCTCAGGCTGGTCTCGAACTCCTGAGCTCAAACGATTCACCCACCTCGGCCTCCCAGAGTTCTTTCTTGCTTTTTAAAGAATCGAGTTTTTCTATTTATTTCTTTGATTTTTATTCTTTTACTGTTTTAGGCATTACTTTTATCTTCATTTTCTCTTAATCATGCTCCCCATTGAAAAATACAAGGATGTTTGAACATTAACTTTGTTTGCCCTCTCCCCAAAATGCTATTGTTGTCCAGTATTTTAGCTATCCTTTTGTTAATCCCTGGAATTTAGACATTATTATTACATATATAGAGACTCTATTTAGATTTTTGTTATCTACATGCTCACCAATTTATTTGCTCACAATTCCTCTTCCCATGCTCCTGCCTGTTAGAATTACTTTCCTTCTTTTTGAAGTATATCCTTTAGAAGTTCTGTGGGTGTTGTTCTGTTGTTCCACAAACTCCATTTTTGTTTGAATGAAAACACCTTTATTTTGCCCTCATTTTTGGAAGTTAGCTTTGCTGAGAGCATGATTTTAGGTTGATATGTTTCAGTACTTTCAAGATATTTTGTTGTCTTCTAGCTTCTCCTGTTCCTACTGAGGTTTACTGCCAGTGTTATGGTGCCCTCTTGCTTCCAAGAAGCAGGACTGCTGTGTAATGAGTGATCTTTTGTCTCTGCTTTTAAGATGAGCAGAGACATCTGCTCTGTGCCTTAAATATTTTACAATTTCTCTATATTTCTAGGTATGAATTTATTTTTATTTATCTTGCTTGATATTTATTGAGTTTTCTCTGTGCATTCATGATTTTCTTTTTTTAATTTATTTTTATTTTTTTTATATTTTATTTTTTTGAGACAGAGTCTCACTCTGTTGCTTGGGCTAGAGTGCCATGGCATCAGCCTAGCTCATAGCAACCTAAAACTCCTGGGTTCAAGCAATCCTGCTGCCTCAGCCTCCCGAGTAGCTGGGACTACAGGATGTGCTACCATGCCCCGCTAATTTTTTCTCTATATATTTTTAGCTGGCCAATTAATTTCTTTCTATATATAGTAGAGATGGGGTCTTGCGCTTGCTCAGGCTGGTTTCGAACTCCTGACCTTGAGCAATCCTCCCGCTTCAGCCTCCCAGAGTGTTAGGATTATAGGCATGAGCCACTGCACCCGGCCCATGATTTTCTTTAGTTCTAGAATATGTTGAATCCATTATTTCTTCAAATACAGGATCTCTTCCATTCTCTCTATTTTATTTTTCTAGGACTCTGATTAGATCATATGATAACTTTATATTTGTCCTCTATAGCTTAAGCTGTTTTTATACTGTCTATTTCCTTTTCTCTCTGTGCTGGATTCAGGGTAATTTTTCTTTCCTTCCCTTTCTTTTCTTTTTCCTAAGCCTAGATCTGAAAATAATAATTAAAAAGGCCCATTTGACATATTAAATTGCTAGCTCTAAGTACATTAACTGTGATTTTCAAACACTTCTCTAAGAAAAGTATTATTGTCCCTGGTGAATAGATAGGAAACTTTGGCCCAGAGAGGTTAAGTAACTTACCAAAGCCACATCTATTTGGTGGCACATGTGGGATCCAAATCATTATCAGTCTGATTGAAAGTACTGCTTCCCCTTTTGCACTTGGGCTTGTTAGATCTGCTAAATGACTTAGTGAGGTGGGAATTTTGATGTATTTATGGGATATATCTCAATATTACACTGCAACCATGGAGCTGGTGACTAATTTAGTGTT